TTACTGAAAACAAACATTTGAAATGGGTTTAGGAGGTTTTAGAGATTACACAAATGAAAATTGAGATTTTTGAGATGCAGAAAGCTATTTTTAATCTTAACATGAAAATTACTTTACACATTGACAAATCAAAACAAATACTCAATATATTCATGGAAAAATCTTTATTTTAGTTTATTAAAAATACTCCACTGAAAAATATGATTTTTTGTATGTGAAAGGCTTATAATGTTAACTGAAAGATTTTGTGAAGATATACACATTATATTGGAAGTTAGAAGTATTAAATCTATAAAGACTTTAAACGAGTACAAAGAGGTCACATGGTCGGTCAAATTGACCGAGTCTGTGTCAAGAGAATTAAACCAAGTACTACATACCAGGTCATTCCTGAAGTAGAGATTAAGAGCTGCTTTCAGTTTATCTGTTTTTTCATCACTTACACAAAGCTCTTCAACCTGTATGATTTGGACACCTGATTATTTCAACATTTGTTTCTCAAACATAGTGTAATAAATTAATTCAAGCAGAGTAGTGAAATAAAATTTAAGTAACAGTTTTGCATTAAATTAAAAAACAACAAAAAATACACAGTTATATGAAATAAGATTACTAGAAACAAGTGTGTTATTACAAAATTTCATAAATATAAAACTTCAAAAGCAAGCAAGCTGAACTTTATAACATTTTCACAATAAAAAAAACTTTTAAAAACAAAGTCAAAACAGGATTAATCTTGAAATACAAGTCATCATACTAACTAAACATCTGTTTTATAATAATGACAACAATAAAATCACCTCCGATTCCTTCATGGACAATTCTGCTGGGATGGACTGGTTTAACTGGCTGAAAAAAAAAATTTGGATATGTTTTTAGAAATATATACAATTCTTATATATAAGATAAATAAATATGATAATTACTAGACTTTTTCATTGCTGGTACATGAAATCATCAAATTTATTAACTGATGGCTATATTTACTCTGTTAATTTGACTCCAAGTTAAATTTTTGACTTCATTTGTTTCCATTCAAAACCAATGTAAACTTTAGTAGGAAACATTTCTTTTTGAATACAAATTTACATTTATGTAAACTTTCAGCCTTGATTTTAGAAAACACAAGTCTTAAAATGGCACGACATCATAAGTTAAACCACGTATATCAAAATCATGAGTATGAACAAAGACAATGAGGAAAATTTATTAACTACACTTCTGCTTTCCTTTCCACAAATAAGTCACAAAAGTAGCATGCTTTCTTAATTTCATTCCAATAAAAAACCCACAATATAATATTTAGGTCTTTTACATAGTTTACAAAAACAGAAAAGGATTAACAATGAAATGTGCACAAAATAAATACAGATTAAAACTGGATATTATTTATTTAAAAAAATTAATTCAAATATATTTACACCATCTGAAACAATGTTGATGGTGTAAATATAATGAAATTAACTTTGAGTCCTTGAGTAAGTGGTGTGTACTCATGCGAGCCAAAAGTATCTTAGTTACAAAAAATGTAACTAAAATGATAATAAAAGAAATTAGTCATTTTTTTCTAGCCTTTTAAAATTCTTTTCTATATAATGGTTGAGTTTTTTTTGTAAGGTTGTCACACAGTCAACATCATCTATCTCAGAATTCAGAAGCCAAAGTTTAATTATAATATATATATATATTGGTATACTTTGGTGACAGATTTTCTTGTAGGTAGATTTTGTTGAACAAGACCGATGTCTGTAGGTTTACTTTCTTTTTAGAATTCTTCTCAAGAAGTCGATAAGCCGTCTTAACGTTGTTAGT